TAACACATTCAAACAGAACCAATAATGATAAATTGATCAACACAACGGAGGGATTCAATCCTCTTCAACATTTTCGAAACTATCTGCGTCCCAGTTGACTTCCAATCTAGTCCGATCAGCTATGCGGTGCGAACGATGACATTCCCTTGTTAAATGATCTCGACTGCCGCATCTGCTACATCTTCTGCGTCCACCCCTGCCCATATTATCCATTGACATCAAGAATCGCCGCTATTATTGACGACCTACAGCATTATACAGAACTAGATTGACATAATTAGGAACAAGGTTCCACCCTGGAGACACCCACTCTTCTTTTCTTGGAACGGGAACAAACCTAGAATGACGAAACTGCTCACGCCATGTACTCGTCTTATAATATTCATGTATTATGTTTTCTGGGTGATCACCAATCCACCGACATACAGCCAATGCGTGCGAACAAGGAAGCCTGTAAGTCTGCCACTTCTTGCATGAACAACGCCAATCCCTATATTCTACTTTGTGTTCATTTCCACCTTTCCCTATACGATGCCAACCTGTAATGACCCCATACACTTGGTTCTGGAAATCATACAGCTCCACTTTGTGAGTTGCTGCTGTATTCTCATACTTACAGAATTTCTTCCAATACTTATCTCCGATAGGAGTATTGCACTTCAAGGCATCTGTATACTGATCACGGAAGAACTTAATTGTCTTCGCCAAAGTCGATTTCACCACAGCTCTAATTGGTAAAAATCGAACACCCTTTAAAACATTGTTGTAACTCTCAGATATATTTGTTGTCAACATGCCCCAACGTGCATAATCTTGATCGTAGGCAAGACTCCACCTCCCCCTCGGAATAGCCATCATATAAGCAAGACCTGCTTCATTGCACTCTCTCAGTTGTTGTTGAAATTTTAGAAACTTGTGATTTTGCCACTTCTTGCTCATTTTCCAGCACACCAGATTGGTTCGCGCAATTTGTTTTTTGTGTTTCGCGACCATGTTGCTCCGAACATGTCGAAGACAATACCTGTGGTATCCAAAATATGGTTTAAACCACAAATCGACATTATTTTTCAGTACACTGATTATCCCCTTATGCCGATCTGATATAAGACACGTGATTCTGTCGTGTACAACATGAAGCCTCAAATTACAGAGAAAGACCAGCTGTCCTCGCTCTCCTCATCTACAATTGCAAAAGCAATGGGCAGGATATGGTTGTTAGCAGTTTTCACCATTGCTACAAGAAACTTACCCTTATACTGACCGCGAAGGTGTGTGCCATCAATACTCACAACAGGTTGACACATATGAAAGGTCGCAATGGAAGAACCAAATGCCCAGAAAACATATTTGAAGACCCGATTTTCATCATTCTCAGTCCCGAGCTGCCATTTCCACTCAAAAACTGTGTTGGGATTAGACTTCTGTAGTGCAGCCATATACCTTTCATAAATACAAAATAGTCCAATAAACTGTCCAGTATTTCGAGAATTAAAACAATCTGCATTTGCATCAACAAGAAGTTTAAATTTGAATAAACAGTCCAGCATAACCCTAAACAATCCAGTATTTTCCTAACAAAACAGTCGAGATTTGCATAAACAGTCTAACATTTGAAAAATAGCCCAATATTTTCTTAATATCGTAAATAATAAGTTTTAAATATTTACCAGGGCAATTCCGTGAAATTATCGATCCAGCTACCATAACACGCTTCGATAGCTTTTCTTCTTGGATGCCATGCCTTCTTGTACTTCACATCTACCTTATAAGCTTCCTTCACAGCATCCCTGATTGATTTCACCTTAAAACCAGAATCATTTTCAACACTACACCTGATAAGTCTGGCTATTAACTTCGACCTCAAATTGCGATGGTCATTTTGTCTGGTTATTCCAACGTAATTGTGACGATCAACCCAGGACACAATTTGCCACATACGATTCTGCTTCAAAGATGCACGCATCCTCCACGCACAAGTAGATTGCCCAATTGGAGTTTGCATTCTTCTTGTCGCGCACCCTGCAACCCATGACTTACGTCCAGAAGCAAGAACATAAAATTGCCTGTTGTGATGTATGTTCCAGTCTTCGATAGCTGCCTCAACTTCATCCCTGTTGTTGAAACAGGTATTCAAATCAAGGTTTTCTCTATCACCTTTCCACATCTTAACTTTAAATTCATCTCGATCCAGTATGCTATTTTTATAATCACCAATGTCTGAATAAACATGCTGACCAAAACCATACGTGACTAAGTTCTGCACTGCTTCTGCTTCTTGTTCTTCTTCTTCTAAGTCGGTTTCGTCTGACACATCAGTTTTGTAGTCAACTTCTTCTTTGCTTTCTACATAAGTCCCGCCTGATGCATCATCCTCATCTGATGAATCAAAGTCATCATTTTGACCCCCACCATGTCCCTCGGCAACATATCCATCGCCGCTGCTCCTGCTAGGCCCTGCTTCTGCATGTTGAAAATTATTCATCCAATATTGCTAGTGATGTTGCGACACAAATTTAACATCCTGTTTTTGTCCAGACAGATCTAACAAATTTTGAGCATGCACCGTGTCTTCATTTTTAACATACAGCTCCAAATATGATGAACCTGAAAAATAATAAATAATTTTCACTGACGAGTCGTCCGTAATTGTTGCGCTTCGTCTTACACCGTTGTTTTCAGACAACAAGTTAATTCTCAGATTTACATAATTTCTATCCTAACCCGCTTTATCACAAATTCTGTCCAAAAACTCAGAATACGACAGTTTGCGCTGAATAATTAATGTCGCATCTGCCTTGTTATCAAATGTTCTGATCGTGCCATCTTCCACAACATATTTATTTCTCCAGTACACATTAATAAAATACGGACCATTCCATGCCATTTTTATGTCATAAATATAATATTTCTTAAAAAAATAGTCTAAATTTTCATAAACAGTACAATAATTTTAAAATAATACCGTACAAATTTCCATAAATAGTCCAACATTTAAAAAATAGTACAATCATTTGCAAATAAAACAGTCCACATTTGCATAAACAGTCCAGCATTGTTTCCAACACTCCAATTATTTCCAAATACAACAGTTCAGATTTCCATAAACAGTCCAGCATTTAAAAAACAATCCAGATTTGCATAAGCAGTCCATCATTTAAAAAAACAGTCTAATATTTTCCTAATAAAATAGTCTAAATTTCAAAAAACAGTCCAATGTTTCAAAAAACAGTCCAGATTTCCTAATAAAACAATCCAGATCGAATTTCCTAATAAATTTAATATTTTTATATTGAATATTCGAATTCAAATTTAATAAGACCAATAATTAGTTAATTTAATACAATACGATTATAAAGAAACAAATAACATCAATGCAATACTAACCTTGACGATAACAATTTTCAGGCGTAAAAAACAGGTTCAAACTGGAGAGCTCTTCAAATTTTTTTCTTCCTGTTCAAAACTTTCTAGATCTGTTAACAGTATCAATTCTTCTTCATATATAAACATAAAAACGGATTTTACAATTCCGTTTTTATGATTAAAGCCTGTGATACCAGTGATTCGTACAGATTATCAGTGTCAGACCAATAATGCATCTGACAACCTGATAACAGAAAAAACGGAATTCCGTTTTGCGTTTTTGGGATGACACAAAAACGGAATTCAGTCTTCCGTTTTTTGGTTGATTAGAAAATTTCCGTTTTACGTTTTTTCCAATATTTCCTATCTTTTTATTCTGAGTGAAATTATTTTTTTTTCAATTTTAATTATTTTAAAAATTAAAAAAACGAAACGGATATTGAAATTCCGTTTTTTAAATTAGAGTTAAAAAAACGGAAAATGCATTTCCGACACATGTTTTTAGGACCACAAAAAAATAATTAAAATAAAAATTTCTTCCCGTTTTTTTTGGGTCTATTTAGGGAAATGACTCGCAAAAGGCAGGTCTTCCTAGCAACTTTGAATGCTTGTATGTATCATCTTTGGGAAGAGAGGAATACAAGGTTTTTTGGGAGTTGAGAACAAGGACCAACAGAGATAATGAAGAGGATTGAAACTGAAATGTAGGCCATATTTCTGCTTTGGAAGAGGAAGCCTGACACAGCAGCTGAGGTTAAAATTTTTCAGAAGTTTTTTTCCTAAGTAAATGTACAGAATTGATTATGTAATAGGTTAATAACTAGAATGATAGTTTTGAGAAGTAGATGCTTTCAGTTTTTTAGCCTTGAGTTAGATCACAAGAACAGCTAATGTTAATATATTTACCCTTTCACCAAAAGATTTAATGGAAAAAAACATCAACAAACACTTGGTTCAATTGGTAAATTTGACAGATAAAATACAAACAAACACTTAATTCAAATGGTAAATGTATCGAATTGTTTTAATTATGACTCATGTTCAAACCAAGCGCATGCAATAGTAATTAAACTATACATGTGATTAGGAAAAAGAAAAATGAAAAGAAAAAAAGTGTAGCTGATTTGAGATAGTTTTTGGTTAAGTTTCAAGTTCAAACTCTATTAAACAGCACGGCCAAATGTGATTAACTGAAATAATTGTAGGGCCAAAACATTTGAAAAGATAGTTGATGGGTCCAAAATGACTGGCAAGAATAGTTAAAGGATCATTCGAGAATTTTCCCCTATTTTCAAAATATTTTTAGAAAAAATTGAAAAAAAGAAAGAAAAAATTAATTTCCCAGTCCCGTCCTTCCTCCTCCGCTTGCTCTGTCCCGCCGCCGCCGCGGCCACCCCGTTCCGTTTCCCCATCCTCCACGATAACAACTCCAGCCTCTTCAACTAATTCCGCCCGACGTTTTTCCAGGTTCCACCCGTAAGAGTCCCTAAAAGCACTTCCATTTTTCCATAGCCATCATCTGATCGAGGTACATTTTAGTTAAGATCAGTTCACAGTGGAATAAAATATTCGTGCATTTGGATGTCTTAGACTCTTAGTAAGAGGGAGGCTCCCTTATCGTTTTGTGATTGGATCTGGTTACAATTGTCACCTAGCTCAGGTACTTTTGGCTCATTTCCTTGACATTTTCTTTGAATCCCTATGGTCTCGAATTGCAGTGAAATAGCTCTCGACTTGCTGTATTGTGAATGAAAAATTTATCAAATATGTCCTCGTGCATTTTTTTTATTAGGCTATTGTAATTCAGAGGATCATGTAAGTATTTGACAGATGAAGCCATAAGGAAAATTGAAAAGGTTGGAAACTCGTATTGGTGCTAAGATTTGAAATCAATGCAAGCATTTAAAACTTTCAAACACTAACATGGGTACAAATAGTTGAATTAAAGGTTCCAACTTGTCTGATTGTCTGTCTTAGATAAAATTATGGTTTATGATTTCTATCTCAGGATCACGAAACACAGAACTTTTCATAAAGGGGTTATTGTTTAATTGTTACTTTAGTTGAGGACTGAACAAATCTCAACAACTTTCTCTATCTTGAACGAGCGATAATGATTTTAAGTTACTCTGTTAGATGTGTACTATGAATCTCTGTGATGACTTTGAAGCTGATTGCAGGCTTGGTAATCGTGTGGTTTTTTTCCGCTGAAGTTTATAATTGTCACTACCTGCTCGTTTATCTGTGTGCAATGTGAAAGCAACAATGGGTTTATTGGTGCTGTCAACTTGGTTTTTGAAGACATTTGAATCTGATTGGGAATCTCTTGCAATTTAGAATACCTTTCTTTGTTGTTGGTTTTTTTCCCCTTTATTTTTTTCTCTCTTTTTTCCATTGAGTTGTTGCGGGTTTTCTATGTTTGTTTTCTTCTTTTGAATTCGTGGCCTTTAAATTGCTGATTTAATAACTTTTTCCTCATGTTTTGGTTTTGTTCTGGAGAAGTTAGTTTTAGACGGTTTTGGAAGCTAAGCTTTTATTTGGAAATTCTGTGTTTTGAAAATGAAGCAAATGTGTTCTTTCTATAAATTTCCATCTGCTTGGTGTATTTTGAGCGTGCTTTTGGTGGGTCTTCGCCTTGGTATATTATATATCTCATTCAACATAGAAATGCAAAGCAACGTTTTTTTAACAATCTTTGTTATCCCTGCGGCAGCACATTGATGCTAGTGATGCTATAAGCCATATTTGTTTTGGCATCGCATAAAATGTCAAAGTTGGGTGATCCAAGCATTATGTGGAAAAAATAATTTGAGTCTCTTAATTTGGTCTATATGTTTCTTTGTTGTCATTTTCTATCTTTCTTTGTCGTCTTTTGACATTGTACACTGCACTCTTTTTATAGCATTGCTTTCAATAAAAATTGTTTTGTTTCCAGCGCTTAGTTTTTCAGCATTCTATTTGATGAATTATTAACTTTATCCTTGCACCTACTTTTCCTATCCACATATTCGGCCTTCCCAGCATATTTGTCAAATTCGTCATCAGAGCTCATGCAAATGTTACTTTGGTGAGACGGATGGGTTCAAACAGAAGATCTCCAACAATTGGCTATTGGGAATTGGGAGAAGCAGTATTCAGGAGTTACAAGATATCATTTGCATTCAAAAAATTAGTTGCCTGACAAAGAGGTCGATGTTTAATACTCTGATGGGTGAACTTAACTTTCGATCTCTTCTAGTACTGTCAGCATTTTTCCGCATCTTTTTGATTCTTTATGGGGAATGGCAAGACACGCATATGGAGGTTAGATATACTGATGTTGACTACCTTGTGTTTTCTGATGCGTCGTCTTTGATGGCATCTGGAAAGTCCCCTTATGATCGTTTAACCTATCGCTATTCACCTCTTATAGCATTCGTGCTAATGCCAAATTCGATTATTCATCCTTCGTGGGGAAAGTATCTCTTCTCTGTGTCAGGTGAGGTTTGTATCCAATAATTAAATGGGTAATTGGTTGAATAAAACGATTTGTTAAGTGATTTGGTCAGTGTTTTTAACTACTTAAATTCCTTAATTCTTTTTTTATTTATTCATCATGTTGCATACTCATGCTTGGCTGAACACTCGAATTCGTAATCTGTTGATGTCACTTGGAAAATACTCTAACTTTGAGAAGTGGTATGTGCTGTCATCAAGTTTTACTTCCATCATTTTCTAAATAAAGGAAGACTTTAGCTCACGTTTTTAGCAGCTCTTTTATTTATTCAAATGTCATTCCATATTTGATGTAGTGTTCACTTCTTCACCTTTTAATATTGAAAGGATGTTCTCATTAGCTTTCATTGTATTATTTTGGTAATGTGAGTATGTGACATGCCTGATAGGTTTCTCTTCTTTTGTTTGTTTGAAACTTTCTGAAAGTATTGTTCTTGAGTCTGTCTTTTTTTGGCCTGTATGCTGGAACATTTGGCCGTTGGTTATCTTGAGTCACCAGCACACGATGCATGCAAGCTATTACTTTCGTGATACTTTCTCGGAATTTACTGGGTGTTGAAATACCACTTGAACTTATTTTATGTTCATCGCAGATTTACTTGTGGGTTTCTTCATTCATGTCATCCTGAAGCTACGAGGGGTTCCTGAGAAACTATGCACCTATTCTACAATTGTGTGGCTTTTCAATCCATTCACATTTACAATTGGGACACGTGGGAACTGTGAACCTATTATCTGTGCCATGATTCTGTGGGTCATTATCTGTCTCATGAATGGTATACCTTACATCCTTCCAGCTTTCTCAAGATAAGAATCGCGTGTTGCGTATTGTGAAATGTGCTTTAAAAAGACATAGTCCTGTCAACATTTATATTTCATAGTGACTATGCAATAATTCTATATTGTAATTTTGATACCAAATCCTGATATTGGAACATTTTGCGCTCTAATTTGTTAATTGTGTCGCTTTTTACACAGGCAGGATATGTCAAGCTGCTTTTTGGTATGGGCTTGTTGTCCACCTGAGAATATATCCTATAATATATGCACTTCCCGTGATATTAGTGATCGATCCTTGCTATTTCAGTTCAGGGAAGAAGCCCAATCTTGCAGTTTGGGTTCCCAGGGATTTTATGGGGATAACCAAGAGTTCATTCAGCACTAGAAGCGATGATCAAAAGTCTATTCAGTGTATTTTGCGTGGTTTGTTCACTTGGAGGAGATTAATGTTTGGGATGGTTTCTGCACTTGTGTTCTTCTTGTGTACAGGATTGTCTTATTATTTGTATGGCTGGCAATTCTTGCATGAGGCACTCTTATATCATCTCACTCGGACAGACCCAAGGCATAATTTTTCGATATACTTTTATCACCTTTATCTCCACTACGAATATGACTTTTCAGTCCTGGAAAAGCTCATTTCTTTTCTGCCACAAGTATTAGTGCAGCTGGTTCTTGTTCTCCGTTTTTCACATGATTTGCCCTTCTGCTTCTTCCTGCAAACACTGGCATTTGTGGCATTTAACAAGGTTTGTAAAGTTTGTTGACTGGCCCAAATTAGACAAATTCCTTTAGTGTAGTTAATGTTGCTTAAAACAAACAGGTTTTCTACTCTCTTAAGTGACTCATTCATTTATTCTTTGTTTTGCAGGTCATGACGGCCCAATACTTTGTCTGGTTCTTCAGTCTGTTGCCTCTAATATTGCCGTGGACTAAAATGAAGTTGAAATGGCAAGGCCTAGCTCTGAGCTTAATATGGATTGGTGCTCAAACACATTGGCTTATGTGGGGTTACCTGCTTGAGTTTAAAGGAAAGAATGTCTTCATTCAGCTGTGGTTGGCTAGTATAATGTTCTTGGCTGCCAATACATGGGTCTTAATCAGCATTGTTCGCTACCATAGGTACACTCCTGTATTTAAAAGATTCGAGCATTCTACTTCTGAAAAGACTCTGAAACATGAATGACGACAAGGTTGAAAACCAATGGACTTTGTTTTGGATTGAAACATTTTAAGTGTGTCCCACTTGCACTAATTTCTGGGCATTGACTTAATGCTTCTGATTGACATGGTACTGCATCACTTTGTAGCCAGTGTAGGCGAGAGCAACATAGTTAGGATTGAGTTTACTAGGTTCAGATCATCATGGTGATAAATGCTTCTTGTAAACTCTTATTTCGTTGTCTAGATGTGTTATCCATCCTGCAGCTGATGAATTTTTTCCTGCCCCTTTTTGCTTTGTTCCAGAACATTGAATTCTTGGTTCACTTGGGAGTTCTAAAACTCGGGTGCATTCCTATTGTCGTCACTAAGTTTTATGGTACCGGGGTACAAGCAAAATTAAGATTTGTATAATAATTTGCCTAACTGAGCATTATTCCTAATGTGTTGGGCCCAGAATGACGTCCAGCTGATGCATCAAATTCGCTGCTGTGATTCCTTTTTAGAACATCCTTTTTTTGGTCTCTGAGAACATAGCTTTTGTGGATAAATGGAAATTTCTTTCCTTGCATTTCAATGCAAACTATATTTTCGTCGTGGTGGAGCCGTGGAGCTCCAGTATCCTAGAGCTGAATTCCACTGTTTCATGCGTTGAAGATCTTGAAGCGGAAGATGTCTGTCTACTCTTGTTCGCTTACGGAGCCTCCATACTCACTTATCAGCCACAATGACCGTCTCTTTTGTGCTGTTTCGGTTCCTCTTTCCACTTCCACTACCCTGTTCTTCTGCTTGTTCTTAGATTTATCAGTCTTTCCAACGATTTGAAAGTTTTCTTAATTAAACCGTAATGAAAATCCTTCTAAAACCTTGACCTTGTTTGAGGGACCTGCGGACTATGATACAGAATAAAAGTCAATTATTGTGGACGGTGTCGGATCAGAACAAATCCCAATCCCACGGAGTGGCGTTTTTCTATAAATGTTGATATCAACGAGGAACTTAGAGCATCTCCGACCATTGCACTATAATTTACATTAAATTTGGTGTAGAAATAGAATATTTCATGATGAGAATTTACAAACCTACATTCCCATCATTGAAGAAAATAGCACACCTTCGAGTTCAAAGCTTTTTACAAGATCACAAGCTAGGAAGCTCAAGGCAAATGTGGCAACACTCCTCAACCTCACAATGCACCATGAAGAAGCAAAGATGGAGGCAACACCTCAATGGGTCAATTTCCTCCATTTCTGCCCAAGAAGAAGTTAACCAATTTTGAGCAGATTTAGGCCAATTCATATCACTCCTTTTTGGCCATCTTTTTCAATCATCTTTAAGGTATTTTGGAGCCTTACAATCTGGTCTAAATTCATTAAAATTTCGGCCAAACCCTCAACAATACAAGGTGGCCAGATTTGAAGGGTAAAAGTAAGTCATGGTGTAATCCAAGTGGAGCCACTTTTGTTGACAACTCATGGTCCAACTTTGCAGCTATCTTTGACCATGTTTTGAAGACTTAAAGGTGAAGAAATCCTAGGTAAATGATAGCTGCACCAGCTGCCCTAGTCAACTACAAAACAAGGAACCATCTTAGCATTACTTTTTATATTTTATTAAGCAAGTTGTCTAGTTCTTTTGTCCTTTAAACTCAAAAAAGAAACAACCACTTCGGGTAGTTTTTTGAAGTCATTGTTCATGTACGAACCTTTGAGAGGAACACCTTTTCAGAATTCCAAGCTTCTTCAAGTTTGGTAGCATAGCACGGTTTGTAGCTTGTTATGTAGTAAGTGTGCAATTTAGTTTATGATTTAACTAGATTGTGGAGCTTTTTGTAAATTGTTGAAATGGTTAAATTTTTCATGCCTTAGTTTGTTCAAATCTGATTCTCATCTAGTGTTTGAAAGGGTTAAGGTACCATTTAGGTATTCATATCATAAATTATTCTACCCCATTTCTACCCTTTCTTTTGTGTTCCTTTGAATGCCTAAATGGTACCTTAACCCTTTCAAACACTAGATGAGAATCAGATTTGAACAAACTAAGGCATGAAAAATTTAACCATTTCAACAATTTACAAAAAGCTCCACAATCTAGTTAAATCATAAACTAAATTGCACACTTACTACATAACAAGCTACAAACCGTGCTATGCTACCAAACTTGAAGAAGCTTGGAATTCTGAAAGGGTCTTCCTCTCAAGGTTCGTACATGAACAATGACTTCAAAAAACTACCCAAAATGGTTGTTTCTTTTTCGAGTTTAAAGGACAAAAGAACTAGACAACTTGCTTAATAAAATATAAAAAGTAATGCTAAGATGTTTCCTTGTTTTGTAGTTGACTAGGGCAGCTGGTGCAGCTATCATTTACCTAGGATTTCTTCACCTTTAAGTCTTCAAAACATGGTCAAAGATGGCTGCAAAGTTGGACCATGAGTTGTCAACAAAAGTGGCTCCACTTAGATTACACCATGACTTGCTTTTACCCTTCAAATCTGGCCACCTTTTATTGTTGAGGGTTTGGCCGAAATTTTAATGAATTTAGACCAGATTGTAAGGCTCCAAAATACCTTAAAGATGGTTGAAAAAGATGGCCAAAAAGGAGTGATATGAATTGGCCTAAATCTGCTCAAAATTGGTTAACTTCTTCTTGGGCAGAAATGGAGGAAATTGACCCATTGAGGTGTTGCCTCCATCTTTGCTTCTTCATGGTGCATTGTGAGGTTGAGGAGTGTTGCCACATTTGCCTTGAGCTTCCTAGCTTGTGATCTTGTAAAAAGCTTTGAACTCGAAGGTGTGCTATTTTCTTCAATGATGGGAATGTAGGTTTGTAAATTCTCATCATCCCCTCCCTCTTGAAAAGGATTCTTAGTAGAAGAATCCGTTGGTTCCTCCTCCTCATTGTCATCTACATATTCAAAGGCACTCAAATCAGAAACATTGAAAGTGGAACTAACATTATACTCACCTGGTAGATCAATAACATAAGAATTGTTATTCAGTCGTTGAAGAACTTTGAATGGTCCATCTTCACGAGCATCAAGTTTGCCCTTCACTTTTGTAGGAAATCTGATTTTCCTAAAGTTAACCCAAACACAGTCTCCTGGTTGAAAAATCTTTTCCTTGCGGTGCTTGTTGGCATTACGGGCATAATGCTCATTTTTCTGTACTATCATATCGTGCACCTTGGAATGAAGATTCTGAATGTACTTGGCACGTTTAGCTCCATCCATTTCAAGTACCTGCGAATTGGGTAAAGAAACGGAAGAAAAGTCTAAAGGGGTTAAGGGATTAAAACCATAAACACATTCAAATGGTGACATTTCAATTGTGCGTTGTGTTGTACGGTTGTAAGCAAACTCAGCAATTGGAAGGCATTCCTCCCAAGTCTTCTTGTGCCCTCGAATCAATGCTCTAAGTAGCGAACCTAGAGTCCTGTTCACAACTTCAGTTTGACCGTCAGTTTGTGGATGTGCAGTAGTAGAAAACAACAATTGTGTACCAACTTTAATCCACAATGACTTCCAAAAATAGCTCAAAAACTTAACATCTCGATCGCTTACAATAGTCTTCGGGATGCCATGCAATCTTACCACTTCCTTGAAGAATAGATCCGCAATATACCTAGCATCATTAGTTTTCTTGCAAGGAATAAAGTGAGCCATCTTTGAAAAACGATCAACAACTACAAAAATGCTATCATTACCTCGCTTGAAAGTAGGTAGCCCTAACACAAAATCCATAGAAATGTCAATCCACGGGTGTAAAGGTGCGGGTAATGGAGTGTATAAACCAAAATTATTAGACTTGGATTTAGCTTGTCTACACTCAATACAAGCCAAACAGAATTTTTCAACATCCTTTCTCATTCGTGGCCAATAAAAATGTTCACACAAAATGTCCAAAGTCTTTAAAACACCAAAGTGTCCAATAAGACTACCACAATGAGATTCATGCACAAGAGTATCACGCAATGAGCATTTAGGAACACACAATCTATTTTCTTTAAATAAAAGACCCTCATGCAAATAGAACTTTTGAAAAGCTCCATGTTTACAACTCTTGAAAATTTCAGCAAAATCAAGATCATTTTCATACAAGTCCTTCAAGTAGTCATAGCCGAAGAACTTACCTTCAACAATAGCAAGGATTTGGTTTCTTCGGGAGAGTGCATCAGCAACAACATTTTCCTTACCTTTTTTTGTACTTGATAACATAGGGAAATGTTTCTAAGAAAGTACTCCACTTGGCATGTCTTTTGTCCAACTTTTGCTGCTCGTTAAGGTACTTGATAGATTCATGATCCGTATGTATCACAAACTCCTTTGGAAGAAGGAAGTGCTGCCAATGTTCTAAAGACCGAATGATAGCATACAATTCTTTATCATAAGTAGGATAATTTATTTGGGCAGAATTGAATCTTTCAGAAAAATATGCTATAGGTCTATTGTTTTGCATTAAGACACTACCAATTCCTACACCACTAGCATCACATTCAAGTTCAAATGTAAGATCAAAATTAGGTAATGCAAGCACGGGTGCATTTGTAAGAATATGCTTCAATGTGTCAAATGCTTCTTGTTGTTTTTCACCCCAATGAAATTTCACATTTTTCTTGGTCAATACATTCAGGGGTGCAGCAATGCTAGAAAAATGACTTACAAACCGACGGTAGAAGCTTGCAAGCCCATGGAAAGATCGGACTTCCGTCACATTTGTAGGGGTTGGCCATTCTCGGATAGCCTTCACTTTCTCTTCATCAACCTTAACTCCAACTTTCCCTACAATGAAGCCTAGAAAAACAACCTCTTCCACACAAAATGTACACTTAGAAAGCTTACCATAAAGTTTTTGATCTCTCAAAGTCGAAAATATACAAGATAAATGATAGACATGCTCATTTTCATTTCGACTAAAAATCAGAATATCATCAAAATAGACAACAACAAACTTGCCAATGAAAGCTATAAGTACATGACTCATTAAACGCATAAATGTAGAAGGTGCATTGGTCAAACCAAATGGCATAACAAGCCACTCATATAACCCAAATTTGGTTTCGAAGGCTGTTTTCCATTCATCACCCGATTTCATTCTAATTTGGTGGTAACCGGATGCCAAATCAATCTTAGAAAATACACAAGCACCACACAAATCTTCTAGCATGTCATCAAGTCTAGGTATAGGATGCCTATACTTGATAGTGATCTTGTTCACAGCCCTACAATCAACACACATTCGCCATGTACCATCCTTTTTACGGACAAGTATCACGGGTACTGCACAAGGAGACATAGACTCATGAATCAAACCTTTGGCAAGGAGTTCATCAACTTGCCTTTGAAGTTCCGTTGTCTCAATAGGGTTGGCTTTGTAGGCTGGCCTATTAGGAATTGAAGCTCCCGGAATAAAGTCAATTTGGTGTTCAATGCCTCGGATAGGTGGTAATCCGTGGGGTAGTTCTTCCGGAAACACATCTTCAAATTCCTGCAAAACAGGCTTAACAACACTAGGCACATTGTCATTGTTAGTATTAGTTAAGCAATAACCAAATAACATCAAAAGAATGAGGGGTGGTTGGCCTTCCAATACCTCCTCAATATCACTCTTTGTGGCGAGTAACAAACTGCCTCTTTTCTCACTAGTTTGTGGCTTTTGTCTCTCGGTTTTTCTCTCATTCTCACCACACTTTATTGGCTTTTTCAACTCACCTTCATGCCTTTTCTCTCGCCCTCTTTTGGCTACAATATGAACATGTGCTTCATGAATAGCTTTTGGGCTCAAAGGGGGTACAACAAACTTAGAACCATTAATACAAAGTGTGTAGGAGTTAGTGTAACCATCATGCATTGCTTTCCAATCAAACTCCCAAGGTCTTCCCAATAAAACATGACAAGCATTCATTGGTACAACATCACAAATTACCTCATCTTGGTGTAGACCAATTTTTAAAGGTACCTTGGTTTGAAGTTTCACCCGAACTTCTCCATTGTCACCAATCCATTGCAATCTATAAAGTCTCGGGTGCTTGGTTGTAGTTAAAGCAACTTTCTTGACAAACTCTTCACTAACAGCATTGGTACAACTCCCGCCATCTACAATGACTAAACAAGTCTTCCCCAACACTTTACACTTCATATGGAACAAGTTGGTTCGTTGCTCCTCATGGTTCTTCCCAATGATCCTATCATGTGAGCTCAAAGTACGCATAATAACAAGAGATTTAGGATCAGAAAAATCACCTTCTTCATCGCTTGAAAATGTAACATCTTCGGTCTCAATAAATGGTAATGAAGATTGCTCTCTTTCGGCTTCTAAGGCAGATTCCTCATCTTCGCTAAAAATCTCTCCATCTTCAGTAATATGCATCACCCTTTGATTCACACAATCTTTAGCATAATGTCCCCACCCTTTACATTTGAAACACTGAACTCTTCTTTCTTGTCATTGAGGTGGAGTGATCACCTTCTTTGGTAGGTTATTCACAGTTGGCTTGACAACGATCTTGGGTTGAGTGGTGGAAGAACTCGGCATTGGCTTCTTTGGAGGTGTTGGTTTGCTGGTTGAGCCTCCCGGAGTGAACCTAGAACGGCTCTCTTTCTCCTTCAAGTGTTTCTCAATCAAATCAGCAAAAGCAACAACTTCTTCTAATGAATTGCACTTCATTGCTTCAATCTCCACTTGGTCTCTAATATTCCTATTTAAACCCCTTATAAACCGTGCCTCCATTGCATCATCACTTTCATCAATCTGAAGCTTAGAACGTAAGGCAATTAGTTCATAATAAAATTCCATACAAGAACGAGTACCTTGCCTTAAGTCTTGGAGTTCACTTCTTAGCTTCTTTTGGTAGGTTTTTGGGACATAAGTAGCTCTCATCAAATGCTTTAGCTCCCGCCTAGTTGTGACTTCTCCTTCACCATCTCTACGCCTTCTTCTCATCACATCTAGCCACCAAGTGTTAGCATTTTGTCTAAACTCTGCAATGGCAGCTCCAACCTTGTATTGCTCCTAATAATTGTGCAAAGAAAACACCTTGTCTACACTGGTTTCCCACTCCAAATAGAGATCCGGATCAGCCTTGCCAAGAAACTCCGGAAGTTGGTGTTTTATCTTGCCATCTTCGGTTTCTCGTCTTCTATCTTGATTCCTCCTTCTAGGTGGTTCAAGTTCTTCTTCATCTTCCTCCTCTAAAATGGCTTGATGATCTCTTCCTCCTCGGGGTCTATTTACTTGCACTTCTTCCTTCAAAGTGTGCATCTCCTCTCTAATTTCTCTATTTGCATCAAACAACTCTCTCATGCTACCAACAAGTTGGTTCAAGGTTCTTTGTATATCATCCATGGCTAGATTGCTAGAGGCAGCTTCGGGCTCCTCTACTTGTTGATTCCTTCCACTGGTTGGTTTAGGAGGCATCTTCACTAAAGATCAACAAAAACACAAGAACAAGTAGTATCCGAAAAATAAAGAAAGAAAAAGATTTAAGAAGCTAAACTCACCCCCAATTTCAGTTCCCCTTCCCAATTCCCTCACCCATGATCACTCGGAAGGTCTAGATATTCAGTGTGGGTTGATGGTAAAACCTCTCTTTCTCTCAACTTTCAGGTTCCAACTTTTTGTGCAATCAAAATTGGTAACTAGCTAGTAGAATGTTTATAGATTTAATTGCGCACAAATTAGAGATATAATTTAACAATCATGTGCAACAATTAGAATAGCTAAAATGAATTTAACATACCTTAACTTGACAATAAAAGATGAAAGGGAAACAAAGGAAAAGAAAGGAAATGAAAAAGAAAATGACTTGGACAGAAAGGTTGTACAACGATTATGCAATGGATACAATCGATTGTATAGCTCAAAAAAAACTTCCCAAATCTGTTTATTTTATTTTTATTTTTATTTTTATTTTTTGTTTTTTTTATGAAGCTGAATTGAGCTAAGAACAACTTGCAACTTAGTAGGTTATTCAAACTTGAATATTTAGATTATGAAGAACAGCAAGTAGGTCAATTATTTTGTAGGTAAATGAACCAAGAGCTCTGGTGCCAAATTGATGTAGATTTCTACCAAATGATGCAGATTTCATGCGCACAATCGGAAGCAAACTTATTTAGAGGTTGTCCCGGACTGTACCATACAAATTTACACAACAAGATCAGTTTGATATGATCCAAAATCAAAAGGTCTTGGATATGAAGAGAATTCAAAGTGTATTCAAAGGAACACAAAGATGGATTCGGGTGGAAATGATAGAAATGGGGTAGAATAATTTATGATATGAATGCCTAAATGGTACCTTAACCCTTTCAAACACTAGATGAGAATCAGATTTGAACAAACTAAGGCATGAAAAATTTAACCATTTCAACAATTCACAAAAAGCTCCACAATCTAGTTAAATCATAAACTAAATTGCACACTTACTACATAACAAGCTACAAACCGTGCCATGCTACCAAACTTGAAGAAGCTTGGAATTCTGAAAGGGTCTTCTTCAAAAAACTACCCAAAATGGTTGTTTCTTTTTCGAGTTTAAAGGACAAAAGAACTAGACAACTTGCTTAATAAAATATAAAAAGTAATGCTAAGATGGTTCCTTGTTTTGTAGTTGACTAGGGCAGCTGGTGCAGCTATCATTTACCTAGGATTTCTTCACCTTTAAGTCTTCAAAATATGGTCAAAGATGGCTGCAAAGTTGGACCATGAGTTGTCAACAAAAGTGGCTCCACTTGGATTACACCATGACTTGCTTTTACCCTTCAAATCTGGTCACCTTTTATTGTTATAGTTGAAAATTGGTACATAACCAAATGAAAGACAAATATTTGAGAAAGCAAACAAGGAATAAAGGGGGTCTATGACATGATTTCCATAAGCTAATCTTAACCAAAAAGTTATTTAAGTATTATCACCATATTCTAACAATCTAAGAGTAGGTAGTACCCAATTTGCGGAAATCTTTGGCAAATAAAACTCACATAGATTTTAATTACACAACTTAATTTTCTCTATTTGATGCAACAACAACAAAAAACAAAAGATTTTAAGGATGGAAATCAAAGGGCCAAACGAGCTAAACAAATAGAGCAAATTTATGTAGACCTCTAACCATTACTATTATTGAATTCTTTCAGTATCTTAGGTAAATAAAACCAGAAAAAACTATCATTTCAGCACCTTATTCTTCTTAATTGCTGCAAAAGCAACAATTAGCATACTCAAGCATGGAAACTAAAAAGTCAAATCATGAAGAGCAGGATTAATTATTATCATTTTATTGCAAAATAAAAAATTTAAAAAAGATATTCTAGCATCAATATATTGAATTCAGACGGTCTCAAGTCCTTAGTATAAAATACATTCGAGCAAACCGGATAGATGTGGTGCAGTATCCTAGTCTTTTGTTTCACTCAACGGAAGTTTGATGACCCATTAGTTTCAAGTTTTCTTTGTGAACATAAATTGTCGTTCCAAAGCAGTTATTGTATTTTCAACTGCATTTTCTGCAACCCAATGGATGGGGGAAAAAAGTTTTGAAAGGGAAATAGTTTGAATAAGAAGAGGGTCGGCTAACTCGAATAGAGAGAGAAAGAGAGATGACACCTACATGAAATCATAAATCACTGTAATTTTGGAATGAAGATTTAATTTATTAGTTAACCAACGTTATTTTTTTCAGTCATTTATCGTTTTATCTGTTTTGTTACATTACCACAATTCGGATTGATAGTTTAAGGAGTTTGATTCATTTGTATGAGGAAATTATTTTTTTAATTCAATTTTCAAAATAATAAAGACTCCCGATTATTGTACAATCTGTTTATAAAAATAGTATCCCACAACACCTAAACTACAAAGCCCAAACACAAAACCCAACTATAACTTATATACATATATACACACGCCAATAAAATCAGATCATCATTAATTGCTCACATTTTTCTTGTAAAACAAATTATTTTTATCATTAATATACGTTGATTCATTAACCAACTTATACTTTCCAATCCAATATATATATATATATATATATATGCAACCCCTTCTGCTTCGGCTGTAAGATTCTTACGCAAATTGAATACGTAATGTCAACATTGATAATGGCAACTTTGTTGTATAAGTAATGGACTTAAAATTAATTGAATACGTTTGATATACAATTCAATCATACCATTTTGTGTGTGAGTATAAGTTACCGAATGTCTAACTTTTATCCAAATAAACATACAGTAGTTGCTAAATAATTACAACATCAATTTACCAATATTGTCACGAAGTATTGTCTACATTTGATGTTCAAGAAAAACTATACTAATAACTTTACAAATATAAGGTTTCTTGTTAATGTCACACACATGTGTGACCATCTCGTCGATGTGTCCATTGAAATCATAATATATCAAAATGCTCCACAAGATGGGTGAATAGACCCACAAATATAACCATGTATGCGTTTTAAAAATATTAGAGATTTGGCCTCACAAAACATTTTTTGACAGACAAAATAGTCAATTAATTAAAACAACAAAATTCCTAAGACGTCTAGAGCGGTTGTTCCTATTTGTCATGAATCTCTAACAATTACTCTTAGAGCTTATGGCTTGTTTCGCCACAAACGTGCAAACAAAAGATAATTAGAAACTAATAGAGAACAAACTAAACCACCTGGGAAAATTAAACCTAAGTTATTTTTGACACTTGGTTTTTTCTTTGGTTTGGATTTCTTGTGTCCTTTCTTATCTGTATCGAGACTTTTCTTCATACTTGTTCGATCCTCTCGGCATTGTTCTTGTCTCCACCTTGTGATTGTTCTCTCTTCAATATGAAAATTTTCAAGACAAGATCGTAAAGTCACATCAGTTCCACTTATATCAATGTATATAATTAGCAATGTCTTCGCAACACCTCCAGTCACTCCAAGTGCACCATCTAGATCAGACCAAACTAACAAACGAACATTAAATTCAATCAGACCATCTGACAAAGCAAGCACTGCATATTCTCAATACACCAGGGATGGATGATGTCTGTAAGCAACAAAGTCAGCACCATACAGATTTCCTAATTTGACAACCCAACTTTTCATTCGTAGATGTTAATATAGTTTGAATAAGTTTGAAAAATTCTCTAAGCAAGAGTGTAAGGACCCAAAATTCTAGTTGAAATTAATAAATAAACTAGAGGAATGAAATCCGGTATTCCCTGGTCAGTGAAATATTTTATTTTATTCTTCTGAGAGAAAGTTTGAGATTATATTAGTAAATATCATTTATTAAGGATTTGAACCCTTGTTCCTACGTAAATAGATATATACTTCAAGTAGAAATGGTAAAAACAATAATAATAAAAAAAAAAAATGGGAAAAAGACTTAGTCATCGGATGTGATATCTTTCGGTAGAGTTGTTGCTTAACAAACTAATAGATAAAAGATTTTGCCAATTTTGAAAAATTTAATTTTCTAGAGAGTAGTTGAGATTGAGTCTTCAAAACTGCAGCAGAGGGAGAGAGCCCGATGTTATTTATACATATAAACCTTCATTGTGCAACTATGCCTCAATCAAAGAAGTTGCTTTCATCTTTTTTCCTTAGAAAAAAAAAATATGGTCAACAGACTTCCTTCCACTCTTAACACTCGAAAGTCACTGTCTAGCTTTCGTAAAGACAGCATTGCAAACGATTGTTAAGTCTAGAAGAAGAGTAAAGTAGTTGGAGTAGAGGAAGAGTGGATCGTCTCACACCTAGGTCAAGAAACCAAACAGCCTATACAAGTAACAGAGGTGAGGGAATTCATGGGAGATTTTCAAATCAAGTTTTCCAAACCGTTTCATTATATGAATGCTTTTGAAGAAAACTCTTTCTTGGTAGCTATTATGTATCTGTATTCTTTTGGATTATATCATGTATTGATCTTTTGATGACTTAATCACAAGTTTCTTTGACTGAAATGGTCATGTATATGCAAAAAACTGAGCCATAAAATTTAAAATGAGGTTGCGTTCGGTTTCGGCAATATTTCGATAATAAGATACTGTTTTCGTATAGACTGGTTCCTCTCATTGTAGGATGATTTTCATGAATTCTTGCTATGTTATCACTCACTAATGATCACTTTTGAGCCTGTGCTTTGTGGATTGTGGAACAGAATTTTACATAGATCGGAAAACAGTTTTAAAAATGTGTGTCAAAGCTGTTTTTTGTTTGAATTCGCAGAACTGATACAAAACTTTAGATGCTTCGATTGTCTGATATAAAATGTGTTTTTGCGTGATTCTTTTTATAGATTGGTTCCCTGCTCTGTAAGGTCGAAGTCAGTTTTTGCGATGCGTAATTCGGAGTTATATTGAGTATTAAAAACGGTTTTGCAGTTGGCTAAACTACACTGGAATTTCTGAATTGGTTTTTGTCTACAGTA